CAAACCCTCAGAAATTAAACCTTTCACGTCTAGGGCGAAGGCAACTTCAAATATGGCTAGGTGTTTCTAGATCTAATGAATGCGGAATTTTGTATGTAAAAAGCAAGTTTAGAAAATGAGAGAGAGAGTAATCAAGAGAATCTTGATGAGAATTGGTGAATGAATGAAAGAGAATTGGTATTGATGAGAATTGATTATTGTAGGTGAATTGTAGATGAAAACTAGTTATCGAAAACGGAGTTTTTAATACGTTATTTATAGATAAAATCAGCCAAAAAGACAAAATATCGAAACAGAGTCTGACGCACCTAAAACAGAGTTGGCGCCAACTCTGGCTTATTGGCGTCAGGCGCCAACATTAGCGCCAGGCGCCAATGCTAGCGCCAGGCGCCAATGTCTGGCGTTAGGCGCTAATCCTATTTTTGACGCGTTTTCTGAAATCAAATAAATTTTGCCGTACGGGAGGATAAAATCGTATCTTTCCCTCAAAAATGTTCTTTGATTTTAATTAAAACTCAGAAAAGTCAACAAAAGTCAATTTATCAATGCAAATTGAATTAGGAATGAAAAGAACATTCTAGAAGAATCTAGAAGACTAAAATCATTCCTAATTGCATTAGGAATGATAAATCATATTAGGCCCTCCCCTAGATCATTGGGCCGCATATAAGGCTCAAACCGGGCCCAATTTGATAAATTAGCCATAATTTCCTCAATATTCATCGGAATTGGGCTTATAATATATCGTTGGAAAGCTCTTGGAAAGCCCCATCCAACTACACTATTATTGGACCCATATCATGGGCCAACCAAACTGGATTGGGTGTTTTCTTAAAATAAGTTTTCAAAAACAGAGAGAAGAGAAAAGAAATAAAAACTTTCCGCAACACTAAACTTTCCACACTTTCGCTTCATTCGATTATGATTCGACGTGAAAGGTACTCATCACTGGGTTTGGTTTTGGGGAGACACAAATGGGTGTCTACAATTATCAAAATACTACCCTTTTAATTTATAAATGTGCTCCAATGGTCAACAAGTAGCTTTAGAATTTTAATTAAATTTTAAATATTAAATTATTATTTAATTCACTCTTTTAGCAAAAAAAAAAAGAACATAATTTTTATTTATTTTTTTCCAAGCTACGCGACTCCAATGGCAAGCTAACTTGACAATCAGCTTGCCATACCACATAAGCTTTTAAGCTTATTATCATTTTAGCAACTTTTTGCTCCAATGGCTAGCTATTAGCTTATTAGTAATTGTTGGATAGAAAATACATGGAAAGAGCTTAATTGGTGCAACGAGTATTTTTTTTTTGCAAGTTTAATTGCCAAGCAAATTAGCTAATTTGCTTAGCCAAGCTAATTGAGTTTTCTAGCTCCAATGTTAAGCTAGTAGCTAGGGAATTATTGAAATTACAAGCAAGTCCTTAGATACAACCATTGGAGTTGCTTAATTGGATTTAAGGAGCTAATTTTTTTTTTTTTTTTTGGCAAATACTATGCAAACACTCTAATGGCTAGCTAGTTTCTTAACTAGTTTTCAAAAAAAAAAATATTTTGGCAGATGCTATGCAAACACTCTAATGGTTAGCTATTTTATATTCTAGCTTAAATTGCCATATCATCATTTCTAGCAATTATATTTCTAGCTAATTAGTGAATTATCCTCTGATGATTTGGGTATTAGGTTGCAAAATATAAAAAAAGAAAGTTATTTCCTAAAGGCAATCATTGGATATAAGCTTGTTTATGCCGAATTGCCGAGTATATCTCCTTAGATGAAAGATGACATCCATTACTCCTTACTAAATAATCTAATAACTTGTTTTTCAAAAAATTGATTTAATAACTTAAAAATAAATTCATAATACTAGAAAACATTACTAGTCAATAATTATTCAAGTCTAACGAAGCTAATTGAGCATCAAATCGAATCTGTTACAACTTAAGGTCATTTAATCGAAAACAACTTATCCTATGAGCGGCTGACCGCACCGTGTTACTACTTATAAAATAACCAAGTAACCCCTGTAATACTGACGAAGTAACTCCTTTAACACTAACTAATTAACCCTTTAACACTTACGAAGTAGCCCCTATAGTGGTTGACCTGACGGTGTGATGACAGGATAAAGTCGTATCTCCTAATCAAAAGAATTCCCTAAATCCTCTAACTAAAGTATTATGTCCATTTTCTAAAATGCATTTATTCATATTTTTTATGCACACGTTCACTTTCTTAAATGCTTATGTTCATATTTTGAATGCTTATGTAAACTTTCTAAAATGCTTTTTTAAACTTTCTAAAATGTATATGTTCACTTTTTAAAATCCATATGTTCATATTTTTTATGTATATGTTCACCTTCTGAAATGCTTATGTTTATAAGATAAGCATTCAAAAATGAACTAATGCAAATGTTCATATTTTGAATGCGTATGTTCATTTTCTAAAATGCATGTATTCATATTTTTATTGCATATTCATATTTTTAATGCATGTTCATACTTTTAATCGAAATTCATACACAAATCAAATTGATCGAAGCAAACAAAATGCAATTCATATGAATCCAAAAAATAAGATAAAACCTATCAATCGAAATTAAGCACAAAATCACCACATAATAAATCGAAATTCATATATAAAAATTATGAACAAAAAAACACGAAAAACGAAATTTACACAAAATTTATACATAATAAATCGAAATTGATCGAAGATAACCAAAAAAAAAAAAAAAACAATTGAAACTAACATAAAAAACCTAATTACAAATCAACAAAACAAAACACTAATCAGCATTGTCGATCTCTTTGGGAATAACAACTAATTCCATGTTGTAAGAAACAAATTCAATTAAAAAAGTGAAATAAAAGTGAAAAATAATAATTGAAAAAATAGATGAGGAGAGAGAAAATAAAAAGGAGAAAAACAAAGGAAAATAAAATTATATTGAAGAATTTGATGATAATTTGGATCAAAATTATTATAAGAAAGAAAATATATCAGAAGAGAGAATTTGGAAGAAAGAAACAAAATTTTTTAAAAAGGAAACAAATAGTTGTGGATTGATTTGAGTTTGGGCCGGTGTTCCACCTATTCTACATGCATGAGAATGCATATAAGAATATGCCCTGTGATTCCTCAACATCCCAACAGCATAGGGCCTCAAATTGTTTTGGGCCGGGAAGTATAATTCAGATCACAAAATTAAAAGTTAGTGAGTTGTCAATTTATCATTGCTAAGTTTAAGAGAGCTGAATTGGTCTGAATAACGGGATACTAAGCTCCTGCACCGTGTGTTCAAACCTTGTTTCCTTCCCTTGCTTTGGCTTTGTTTATTTTGTCAAGCTCTCTTTGATTATCAACCTATCAAGTCAATACCATTGAAATTTAAAAATTTTGTAAGAAGTACTAAACTATATGCAAGTATTTTCTTTTTTTTTTTATAAACCAGTATCTTCTTATTTTATATACTTCTAAAGTTGTCACCTAATTACCTACATGTATCATTGGTAGGCCTATACAAAATTATCCGAGAATCCGAAAAGCTGATAAGCCGAACAACAATTGATCGGAAATTTTGAAAATCTGATCCGAGTTTTCTTTTGGGGTCGGATAAAAGTGGATATCGGATACAGATTTGGATATTGATTTTCAAAATTTCGGATATCCGAAACATAAAGCCTAAAATAGTGAAATATATATAAAATTTTTAAATTGTTCTTATAAAATTATTAACTTATTATAATATTCTTAATATATTTGATGATAATATTTATTGCAGAAGAACTACTATTTTGTTTAAATATGTTGTACAACTTAGCGATAAAAAAGTAGTAAAATTAGTGAAATTTAGAAAGTAATCATAATAAATTTTACTTAAGATTGGATATTGATATCCGAAGTTTCTGATGCGAAAATTTTGGATATCCGAATAACGAATATCTATCCGAAGTTTTCAAATCAGATTTGGATATCAATTTCTAATATCCGAATATTCGGATAATTGATCCGTGAACATACCTAATCATTGGTACTCTTACCGTCTCATAATATAATGTCTATTTTATTTTGTTAGTTAAATTTTATATATTTGACTAAAAATTCTCATAACATATAACAATGCGAGCCTCCGAGGTACTATTAAGTTCACTTTAGCTTGTAGTTTTATAATATCAACTTCTTATAATTTTAGTATATCCATGATTAAAGATATTGATTATTAAAGGTACTTTTTGAACAATGGCAAAATAAAACCCAAACTATAGTATGGGAGGAAGTATATGTTATATACTTTTTTTTTAGTGTGTATTTAAATTTAGGTGGATGATTATTAATTTCTTAAATAATAAAAAATATTTTGTTACAAGTAAAGAAATTCAAAGTATTTGAGATTATAATATAAAATGACTGTATAATTTTGTTTAATAGCACAAGCCTCCAAAAGGTTTAAGATGGCCCTGGTCAAACTGGTACGGTGATGGGGCGGTGGTGAGGATGGTGGCAATGCTGTTGTATTGTTGTTGCATGAAAAAAAGGTTTAAAAGGTCACGTGATCGGCACGTCGGTGGTCATTGCTAAAAAACTTAGTCAACCGTGAAAATTCGGTACGGTGAAGAGTAGTTTTTAACAAATAGTCCTTTATACTACTTTCGTTTCCTATGACTCACAACAAAGAGACTATGCGAGGACTACAGGCATTCGATATGATTCACCCATTTAAATTCACTCGCGGATGACTAATGGATCGGATGGGGGTAAGAGGTTTTGTGGGAGATGGGTTTTCCGGATGCGGGTGAAGCTCCATTGACCCGAATTCGATCCATTGCCATTTCTAAAGACAAGAGATAATAGAAGTAAAAGGGGTAATTTTAATGCCTATATATACTAGACCTTGGATCCAAAGAATCTAAAAGAAGCTTTCTTGAAATCACTTCTATACAAATAACAACTAGAGATTAGGATCTCCTTTATGTAACTATACATTCTCTCCTTTTGTACAAAACATATACGGATTGGTAACAAAATGACTTTGTTCATACATGTTTAACGTATATACAATACCCTTCAAAACTGAAATTTGTAATTACGAATAAAGACATGTGTCTTTTGTTTAATGACAGAATGTCTTTCCTTTGACTTTGTATAATTGATTAACAATTCACTTGCAAACAATCGAACAAAATTATAAAAACCTAAAAAAAAATAAATAAATAAATAAATAAATAAATGAAGTAAAAAATGTATACTGGATCAGACATATATACAATATTACAATGATCCAAATAATGTAATGTGCAAACATGTAATGTATTATCTTGCCTAAACAAATAATGTACACATTATATATCAATTCACTTTACTAATTTAGATCCAAACACCCCATGTAATACAACAGAAAAAGAGTTTTAAGTAATGGAGTTGATTCCCACCATAAATTACACTTGGAAACTTTGTGTAATAGCTAGTTTATTTGGTTGTCTATCCATCTTTCTTTTCCTAACTGAAAATTACCAAGATCTAACGCTATTTATCGCTGGAAGCTCCGTCGTCGAATTTAAACAATTTGATGTAGCAAATACACCAAAAAAAACCATTGTTTCCGAGCCTGAAAATCCTAATTTATTGCTATTTAGTTCAAATAATCCACCATCTATTGCTAACATGATAAAAAAACCAAAGTCAACTCAAGAAAAAAAATGCAACATGTTTGATGGTAGATGGGTTTACAAGCCAGATCAAAAGCCTTACTATGATACAAATACATGTCCATTTATTGAAGAAAAGATGAACTGCCAACAGAATGGAAGGCTCGATTTCGAGTATGAGAAATGGAGATGGGAAGCTAAAGATTGCGAAATACCATTGTGAGTATGTAGATTAATTTCTCTCCTAATTTTTTTGTACAATATAATGTTATATTGCTTATCATATGCAAAGAAATACTTAACATGATCGAAAAATTATTATATCTTTTCTTTTTCCTAGGTTTAACGGAAGAGATATGCTTGAAAAGCTTAGAAACAAGAGGTTGATTATGGTAGGAGATTCACTAAATAGAAACATGTGGGAGTCTCTCGCTTGCCTTCTATATACATCTGTTCCATCTTCGACCGTGGATATTGATGCTAATGGTTCAGATTATAAGGTGTTTAAGGCAAAGGTATGCAATGTATCTTTTCATGTTATTTTTCTGTAACTTTTTTAGGTGACATTTAGTTTGAAATTGTTTGATTTAGTCCAAATTTTAATTTATTGGCCCAATATCCTGTTGGAGTGTATGCGCATGCATGTTCTAAAAGATTCCGGATTTATAAAGGTTTTTTCTTGCTCACGATTTCTTGATTTATGTAGAAACTTATGTCATGCAAGTCTCTTGATATTGCGGAGAATACTTGAAATTCAAAAGGATTCTAAATATTGTATACATTTCTTTAATCTCCATCTTCAACTATAAATATTAGTGTTGGGCATTTTAATTTAAAATAGAAAAACAAGAAGTTGTACACAAGCTAATAAACATTCCTACATATCAACCACCTTATATTATCCCCTAATTTACTAAATCACTATACCCTTTTGCACTACTCGTATGTCATTTAGGGTTTTTGTATACTCCAATATTTTGCTCATATATAATGAATATTCAGGCACTTGTTTTTAATTGAAAATAGTATAGTGCACCCGGGTGCACCATGCACATGGTGCACCCGAAAAGAACATTAAACATATTTTAAAGAACATGGGCAAAAAAAAGAACATGCTAGTCTTTGAAAAAGAACATACCTGTGTTTGACAAAAGAGCATGTTTGTGTTTGGCAAGAACATGACATTACAAAGAACATAAAGTCTTTACAAAAAGAACATGTTATTTTTCATGGTTATTTGGGTGGTTAAACATGTTTGAAAAAGAACATTATATTTGACAAAAAAGAACATGTTTGTGTTTGACAAAGATATAAGTGATCATTGGACGGACCGGGCCAAGGTTAAAAAATCAGCTCACTTCTCGAGTCGGGCCAAGTTTTGGGCTGAACTTTTTGTGCCCAAACCTGCTCAAAATGGTTCGGCCGTGCGGGCTTTTCGTGTTGAGTATAAAAATTTAACTAAAATGCATAATAACGCAATCCCAAACCCGCCCAAAAATTTAAATTTACGGGCCGGGTCCGACCGAATTTGGGGGTGAAAATTTTTTGCCCAAAACCCGTCCAAAATCAAGTCGGGTCGGTCTAACTTTGATCACCTCTAACCAAATAACATAAAGTCTTTACAAAAAGAACATGATAATATAGTAAAGAACATGTTCTTTTTTCTAGTTTTTCGGGTGATTTTTTTTTTTTTTTTTTTTTTTTTTTTTTTTTTTTTTTTTAAATGTACATACATTAAAGAACATATTGTATAATATAAACAACATATAGTTCAAACTCAAAGAACATATTAATCAAATTTAAAGAACATATTATGCTCACGTTCTTTATAAATATTTATAATGTTCTTTTTTTCGCCCATGTTCTTTTAAATATAATTAATGTTCTTTCCGGGTGCACCAACCATACATTAGTTTTTAATGGAGTATTTGACAATTTTCTCAGGTACATTAAATCGTGTGTCCATTTTAATTTATTATTCTTACCTCAATTCTTCCTATATTGCTACATCTTTGCTTCGCTTATGCACTCTCAAACCTAATCTAAATCACTTTTTAAAGAAGTATTATCATACACTAATTACCAAAATAAGTATATTTAACAATATGTGGAGTTAAAATATCAATATAGGTATCAATCATACTCATAATTTTTATACTCAATATATTTTTATAATATCAAAACAATCCAAATATATTAAAATAAAATTAATTAAGAGGTTTAAAGAAGCGAATTTAGAGATTGAAAAGTATGAATTCATTGGATTTGTATTGTCCGTAGGTGTAAAACAATGATTATAATACAAACCTTTTTTATTTTGGAAAAATGGAATCTAAAAATTCAACCTTTGGCCGGTCAAATAATAAAAATCCAACCTTTCATTAATCTCACAAAAATTCAACCTTTGTCTCCCACCTTTTTTGACAGATCCATTATCTGTTGATAACCGATTTTTGTAAGTTACATGCCACGTGTCAGCTATTAATTGGTCAATTATTTTTTTAATTATTTTAAAAAAATTAAAAGAAAAAAAAAGCCCATCCCCACCGTAGGTAACCTCCCAATTCCCCTGCCACCACTACCACCTTAGGGTGGTCGATTTTTGAAGGGGAGGGGGTTAGGGTGGTCGGTTTTTGAAGGGGAGGGGATTAGGGTGGTAGGATTTTGAAGGGGAGGGGATTAGGGTGGTCGGATTTTGAAGGGGAGGGGGTTAGGGTGGTCGATTTTTGAAGGGGAGGGGTTGGGTGGTCGGTTTTTGAAGGGGAGGGGGTTGGGTGGTCGTGGTTGGGTGGTTTTGGGTCGGTGACCGGAAAACATGGAGGGGAAGGAAAGAGAAAGGAAGGAGGAAGGAGGAAGGAGAAAGAAAAAAAAAAAGAAAAAAAAAATTTAACCTGTTTAGTAGGTTCAAGGTCAAATGGACCTGTCAAAGAACGTGGGGGACAAAGGTTGAATTTTTGTGAAATTAATGGAAGGTTGAATTTTTATTGTCAAACCGGTCAAAGGTTGGATTTTTAGATTCCATTTTTCCTACAACTTATCATGTTCTCTAGTTACATTAAATCGTATCATTTCAAAGTTTCCTAAAAATTTATGTAGGTGTATATAAGATTTGATCATGTGCCCTAAAGTTATATCACAAAACTTTAACTAATGAACAGTGCAATATTTGATTTCAAAGTTTTGAGGTAATATATTTATAAATGAAAATGTATCGACTCATAGGCTCATAGCTTAAAAGTTAAAACTAGTTAATGTAGAAGAAGTTAATCTATAGAAGAAGAATTGCCTCATTATCACAAGTATAATAATCTTTTTCATTGATTTGCAGGAGTATAACACTGTTATCGAATTTTATTGGAGCCCATTTTTAATAGAATTCGATAAAAATCACAACAGTGGGAAAAATGTTCTAGTTTTAGACAAGATTTCGCCCAATTCAGAGCAATGGCAAGGAGCTGATATTATGGTATTCAATTCAGGGCATTGGTATACTCACACAAGAAAATTGAAAGCGTAAGTATTATAACAATCAACATTTTTTAAATTTGTCATGATATAAATTCTTTGAAAGTGCAAGTAGAACATATCATATAAGTCATGTTAAATTAGACGTGAATTTGGTTGTCCATGTTCTATTAGACGTTAATTTGGTCATAAATTGCACAATAATTATACAAGCTGGCAAGAGGGAATAAGAAAATCAACCTTTTTTAATGTTTTGTTTTTGTTTAGAACCCAATTACTATTTTATTATCCATATCACTAATAACAATTTTTAAAACTAAATAGTAAGATTAAACTATAAATTAATCTTTTGTAAAAAAAAAAAACTATAAATTAATCCGTTATCTTTAGAATTATAGATTATCATGTGCATCAAGATTCTTCCAAAATTAAAAAAATGAATTCCTTAACTCTACCATTGACTTGGGCATAAAGTTTGCATTTTACTTGGCCAACTTAGGCTAGGCCATCTAGTATGGTCGAAGCACTAGATTTGGACCTTGTGACATTATAAGGCCTTCCACCAAGCCACCGGCCCAATACCATTGCAACTATGTTGGACTTCGGACTATGGTTTGTTTTTTTTTTTTTTTTTTTTTAGCGAAGAAATTGGTGGATAAGGTGTTAAAATGAAATAGGCATTTTATTTCAACAATCAACACGAGTTGAGTTTTGTGGAAAATAGTAGACTAGATGTTTGATAAAATTATATCGTCAAATATTACCCTTTTTTTTTTTCTAATCAAATTACAAAAATGTACATTGTACAGGTGGGAGTTATTTCAATACAAAGGAAAATTGTCGGAAACGATGGCAGTAGACCTTGCTTATGATAGGGCCATGAAAACATGGGCAAAATGGATCGAAACAAACGTAAATCCAAAGAAAACAAAAGTAATCTTTAGGAGCATTTCAGGACAACACACAAGTGAACCATGGTGCTACAACTATACCCAACCTTTCAAGGATGATTCCTTCGAAAACGCTTTCCCGAAATCATTGATCAATATCATTGAGAGCTTGATCGAAGGAATGAGTAAAGTACAAGTGAAGTACTTGAACATAACCAAGCTTACTGACTATAGAATTGATGCACATTCTTCAGTGTATTGGAGTAACTCGACATGGAAGATGGTTGCCATAAAATCTAAACAGTATCTTTCGTCGTATGCTGATTGTATTCATTGGTGCCTTCCCGGATTGCCGGATACTTGGAATGAATTGTTATATGCAACTCTTTTCTTCGATATTTGAGAAACTAAAATAGGTATTGTTTTAATGTATGTTAATAACAATTTTATTTTTTTATTTTTTTTGTTTTTTTTTTTGGGTAGTGTATCAATGAATTTTGTCAATGAAATTGGTACATAATTAATTTATTCAATTACTACTTGCATTAGTCTAGTTGGATATGAAAAAAAAAATACAAGTTTATTGTTATTTGAATGATATACAGTACTACAACACGGGGTGAATTGTAGTATGTTTCTAGTGCCTAATTTTCTCGGAATATAAACTGATCGCTATTAGAAAGTTAGACAATGTAAAACGGATTTTACCAGGAAATCATCCAGGGCCTAATTGGAAGTAAAACCTCGACCCTCTAAGGATTTCAAACCAAATAAATCCAATATAATAGGCCAAACACTCCTATTTGCAACCTATTACAATTAGACCTTTCTCACAAGTTTCTACTCGAAAACTTACTACTTGATAGGACCCTATCCTACCCAGCCTAAGTCTCGAACTTAGATTCACACAACACTCTTAAAGTACTATTCACTTGGCCTCTCACTAGAAGATCACTCGGCTGCACCTTAAAAGCTCACACTTTGCACTCTTAAAATTATCATAAACGAGAATTCTCACGAGCTCTCACACCCCAATACATAAAACACTCAATACCCTTTTTCCCTTTATAAGATCTCAAAGAATAACTCTAAATACAAATCAATTAATAAAGAGATAAAACTAATATGATGGACACTCGAGATTTGTCTGGAACTTATTAATGGACGAACTAAAACAAACAAGGTTTGACTTAGCTTTGTGGTGAAGGATTAAACCATTAAGCACGCCCACTCCACTTCATCAGCCTCAACTTTGAATGAATACATATGAGTATTTTCATAGTACACCCAAATCATTCTTTTCGTAAAAGATAAGTTTTATCAAAATTAAAGATATGTTTAAAAGATATTTTCCAAAGATAAGTTTTCCAAAAATGTACTTTTTTTTTACGTTAATAATATATATTCTGTCAATAATAAGATATATCTACCATAAAATCATATTTTATTTCAAACTTATATTTTTCAAATATACTAGCTTATCTTTTTACAAAAGATATACTTATCATAAAATTAGATTTTATTCAAAACTTATTTTTGCTGAAAATACTTTCCAAAAATAACTTATCTTTTTCCCAAAGGGATTTACTAGAAAATAAATATCTTTATTATGTAAAACCAAATTCCTAAAAGATATGCACGTATAGGTAAATATTTATATCATTAAAACCGACTTTTAACGACTTTCTGGAACTCTGACAGTCTTTGAGTTCCTGACAAAACAGTAACTCTAATTTCATTGACTATGAGTAGTTCATCTTGGTTCTATAGACTTGTTCAAGACTGACTTTTGTGTCCAACATACTTACATGAATCCTAGAGAAATATACTTTGATTTCTTCGTCTTCATGTTGTTTCTCTAAAACTCTTGCTCTAGAATCTTGTAGTATTGATGTATTCTATATCTTGGGGCAACGTTCCACTTGCTGTCACTCTTGTTCATTTCTTATTGGAACTCGCAGACCAGGTTCCTTCTAGAGCTTGCTGTCACTTGCAATCTTGTTAGGGAACACCTCATGAACCTGTTAAGGAACATGCTCTAGCTCTTGTAGGAAATCCTGCCGAAAGTTTCTTCTACATCTTGTTAGAGAATATCTTCAAGTTCCTTCGTGGTTTGGTTCTCACGGGAGAACCTACTTTAGTTTCATTCATTCTCTCATGTTCCTCTTGCAATCTTCTAGGTTCCAACCCATTGACTTCACCTAAGTCAGTTCCTTTCTTCACATAAACACTTAAGAGAACATTAGATTAAGTTTGTTTGTCATAAGCAAACTTCAAGTTAGATAGCTAATTAAACTTAAAGCAACATAAATACTCATACACATATACGTACAACGTAACTCATGTATGCATAGATTACTCACCTCATGAAGCTACCATATACAAACACCTACTTACATATATAGTTACCTTCATGGTTCCTTCGCCATCATCATGTTTATCAACCATAACACTCATCATTGTTCTTGTTCATCTATTTCTTATCTTATATTGCTCAAATTCCTTATATATATATATATATATATATATATATATATATATATATATATATATATATATATATATATATATACTTGTCATAGCTTAGGTTCATTGTATCTTATTCCAAGCATAACTTTGTCTTTCTATGCACAACTTAACAAACACGTTAAATAGATAATCATCATTAGTTTACAATCATCAAAACCTAGTTACTCAATAATTATCTCATTGATAAACAAAAATAGGTTTATCAAATGGCAAAATTGTATATAAATCAACTAACTTTTTAATTAAAATGGACCCCCACAATAGTTGATTTATTTTTTAACATGCCATGATGATTAGAATTTGGACCCCACAATATTATCTACAAATACGTCATGATGACTAGGAAAAATTGTTGATTTATTTACATTTTTATCATTTGATAAACGAATTTTGTTTATCAAGGAGACTAAATGGGACTTCCTCCATGTATATCACCGTCATATTTTAATTTGATTTATTCTCCTCCACTTACATCCGTCATATATAGTAGGGGTGAGCAAACCGGGTACCCGGTCAAAATTTTAGGACCCGGACCCGGAATTGGTTGGAACCGAAATTGGAATTGGTTCAACCGGGTCCTAAAATTTAGGACTTGCAATTTGAACCACCGGGTACCGGTTCCGGTTCTGGGTACCCACTTATGTAAACAATTATTAAAATATAATTTAAGTTTATCATTTTTAGCGTTTAACACTTGTATTTATATGTGCGTTAAGATATTTTATTTATGCTAGGTATTAAAAATAATATTTTTATTTTACTAACTAGATAAAATTAACATAAATTTATTTTAAAAAAAACTTATTTAGTGTAGTATATGTTAGTTGACCGGGTACCTAACCGGTTCCGGGCCCAAAAAAACAAGAATTGGAATTGGAACCGATTGCAACCGGTTCCTTAATTTATTACCCCTATTTATAGAAAAAATAGTCTGGAACCAAATCAAGTCATATTCGGAATTAAATACCTCCTGTCGTCAACGACATGAGTTAACGCCAGACGACAGGCTTAGCGCTAGACGACAGCTGTCAGCGTCAGGCGACAACTATTAGCGCCAGGCGACAACCTTGTCGTCTTGAGCTATGTCAGAATTAAAACGCGCTTTGTACGCGAAATCATCTTCTTAATACGATTAAACAACTAATTCCGCGTTGATTAGATTAAAATCATGTTTGTGACAAATCACATATTTTATTTCAAAATAAATTTCTTTAAAATATAATTATCAATCCTAATCTCATTAGAATTAAAAGGAACCTTCTAGATAATTCTAGAAAATTAAATCCAATCCTAATAACTTTAGGAATAAATAATTAATAGGCCCTCCTCTAGATCATTGGGACACATTTAAAATCATTTTGGGCCAAATCTAGTTTAATCCATAACTTTCTCATTATTCATCGGAATTGGGCTTATAATATATCGTTGGAAAGTTTTTTTCGAGCCCAATCCAACTACTCTATTATTAGACCCTCATCATGGATCAAACTATATTGGATTGACTATTTTCATAAACAGAAAGAGAGATATTTTAATAAAAACATCCACATCACTAGGCTTTTCACACTTTCACTTCGTTCAATAATCAAATGACGTGAAAGGTACTCATCACTGGGTTTGGTTTTGGGGAGACACATTTGGGTGTCTACACTTATAAAACACTTTTTTTTGCGAGAAACTACCTAATAAAATAAATGTTGTAAGAAACTACCTTATAAAAGGGTTAATGTTGTTAGAGAATACCATTAGTCGGAAAGTCACCATTGACTTTCATTTTCCAGCATTGACCATATCACGTGTTTTTTAATTCACTCTTTCCCTCCTTTTTTCTTAATTAGCATGTGACATGATCAACGTTGGAAAATAAACGTCAACGATGACTTTTCGACTCAGGGTAGTCTCTTACTACATTTATCCTTTTATAAGGTAGTTTCTTACAATATTTTTTTATTAGGTAGTTTCTCGCAAAAAATTAAAAGTGCTTTATAAGGTAGTTTTTCACAAATTATCCTTAAATTTATGATATTATTTAGCAAGATTAGCCCCATCTTATCTTAAGACTTTTTAACAAATTTTTAATTTTATTTATTTATTTATATTTTATTTTATGTTTTAGAATATTGTTAAGATTTCTTCAAAATCAAGGTTTTCTTAGGAAAATTTATTCAAAATAACCACTTAAGTGGTCTCTTTTCCTCACAAGGACTCATTAAGAAAAAAGTTGTTTAAAAGGACCACAAAAGACAGTTTGGGTTGTTGAGGGGGACTAAGGCCGATTTTCGGGCAAGTCAACGCTGGAATCCGATGTTGACCATCACGTGCCAAGCACGTGCTTCATTATTTTGAGGCTAAATTTTTTTACCTCTTTTCCACTAATTCCACCCAAATTTCTCCTTTACCCCTAATTTTTCCCTTTTTCTTTCTCACTCCTCGAAGCATAAACCATGAATCTAAACCATGAACCAATTGTTTTTCCTTTTTCCACGATTTCCCCCCATTTTTCCCTTTAACCCCAACTATCCTTTTTTCCCTTCATTTTGTCTCCTCATTTCTATAACCTTAGATTATATTCAATCCGTAATTTTGCATTTATTTCCAAACAAATTCATCCACACTGCAATTGAGGATATTTCGCACAAGGTAAGCATTGTAGGTTTAGGTGGTTGTGGGTTTGTTAGGTGTTTGTTTCGGCTGTTTGGTGGAGATGCAGAGGTGGGTTGGGGCGGTGGCCCTGTTGCTACCAGTGATGAAGTGGGAGGAGATGGGAGGAGGTTTAGCGCGTTGTGGGTTGATGTTGTGCTTGTTTGCTGCTTCTCGTGAACTTAACGTTCATTAGCCATTTAACTTGAAGCTTTGATCTCACTAACAATGGCAAACAAAAGTTAATGCAATAAATAATGCTTCTAGAGAAAGAAAGAAGGAGAGAGAATGAAATTGAAAATGTTTAAATTGGGATTAATTTGAAAATTAGAGGAAAATTATGGAAAAAGGAAAAAAAAAATTAAATTTTGGTGAAATTAATGAGTCACGTGCCATGCACGTGACGGTCAACGCCGGCGTTGACTTGCCTGAAAATCGGCCTAAGTACCCCTTAACAACCCAAACTGCCTTTTGTGATCCTTTTAAACAACTTTTTCTTAATAGGTCCTTCTAAACAAAGCGATCACTTAAGTGGTCCTTTATTTTGAACAAATTTCCTGTTTTTTTTTTAATTCTTCAATCCTCAACTTATTTAAGACATCTCAAAACCTGTTCAACTACATAGCCAACATCATCAATATTATATTGTATGCTAAAACCACCTGTAGACACTCATTTGTGTCTCCCCAAAACCAAACCCAGTGATGAGTACCTTTCACGTCGAATCCTAATCAAATGAAGTGAAAGTGTGGAAAGTCTAGTGTAGCGGATAGTTTTAATTTCTTTTCTCTTCTCTCTGTTTTTGAAAACCTATTTTAAGAAAACAGCCAATCCAGTTTGGCTGGTCCATG